GTATAAAGATGGTTTTGCAGCAGATACAAACAAAGGAAAGCAACCAGAAAACAAACAGCAAATGGTGTTTGATGAGATAACAGAAGATGACATAGCACAACCTGTCAATTTTGATGAGACAGCTGGAGGCTCAGGAAGCATTGGGAGCTCAGGAGATTCAGGAAGTTCAAAAAGTAGTGGGAGTGATGAAGATAGTGGGAGTTCAGAGGCAGTTATGCATTAGCCAGCAACTCCACACATTAGACAGTCCACTAGAAATCGAAGACCTCCTAACAGATATTCTCCTTCATTAAATTACCTATTGTTGACCGAGAATGGAAAGCCAGAATCTTACTCAAAGGCGTTGACAATGAAAGATTCCGTACAGTGGAAGAAGGCTATGGAAGATGAGTTAGATTCACTTGACAAGAACCAAACTTGGTCCTTAGTCAAATTACTACTGGGAAAGAAAGCTTTGGAGAACAAGTGGGTGTTCAGAATCAAAGATGAAGCAGATGGGAGCAAAAGATACAAGGTCATGCTAGATGTCAAAGGCTTCCAACAAAAGAAGGGGGTTGATTACAATGAAATCTTCTCTCCAGTTGTGAAGACGACTTGATGGATAATCGATACCCATATTGTATAAACTAGAAAGATTGAATAGTGAAAGTGGAGAAGAAGAAGGATAATATGAATATGAATGTTATGACCTGTTTACAAGCCTCCTATAAGGAGTATATATAAGGAAATCCGGGTATGGGCCTTTAATATGAGCCCAACAGACCCGGTTCATAAATGGACTAATAGTACAAAAAGCTAATCTAGTACATACAATGAATATGTAAACTATACAATAATATAAATGATGTCTGCTGGTGTACGTGATTTGTTGTCTAGGCCCAATAGTCAGCAGGTCAGGGGATCGGGGTCCATATACTCCATCAGGAGTCCCCACTCCCTGAGCCAAGACACTAGTACAAAATATGTATTCCATAACTAGGTTTTAATATGGGTTTAATTTGAACCGTTAGAATATGTAAGCGCGGGGTCATATTTATAAATAATGAAAGTTTGAGTAAGTTGAGCGGGTATCTTTCATCAATAAAAAAACATTATTCATATGGGGCATTAAAGAACCGACATGAAAGTACTATAACGGGGCCATTTTTCAAATTTTCGAAAACTTTAATTTCGTAATGGGGTATATTTTATAATTTTAAAAATTTCTTTTCAATGTCAGTTGTGGTGTAACCCTTATCAAAAGTATTAAAATTAACCTCTCAGCAAACAAAGGGCCCAACTACACAATACGTAAGAGGCCTGGCGAAGCGGCTGAAGGCGACGAAGGAGATGAAGGAGACGAAGCCTCTGAAGACGACACGGCGGCGATGCGGCTGAAGACGACGCTACTGCTGACGAGTTTTCTTCACTGCGATTTTGGACTGCAGCGTGAAACGATGGGGAGGGGGGAGGGGGCGAACAGGACAACTGCGATTTTGGATTGCGGTTCTTCACTCATTTTCGTCTTCCCAACAGCAAATCGACGCCCCCACTACTCCACTCCAGGTAAGTCCTCCACTCCAGGTTAGCCTTAGAAATGTATGTGCTGAGTTTTCTGAAAATATGTGCTAAGAATCTGAGATAGTTTGTATGTAATTCGTTTTTGTCCATATGAGCACTGAGATTGACTTATGAATTGATAAATGTATAGCCTAAATGCGTTATATTGATAGGAACTTGGATTGGAGGTATGGTGTTTGATAAAAATCCTCAAAGAAAAATGCAAACATGAACTAGTCTTCCCAATGTCTTTTTTAATGGAGCAGGCAGTAGGCTGCAGAGAGTTGCAGGTTGCAACACCTCACTCAACCACATACTAGAGATTATAAATATCACAACTCAGTTTTTACACTAAACTCAAGTTAACAAGGCCTCTTGCATTGTTGACTACACTCATAGAGATTAAATATCACTACCTCAGCATTGTGAATCTTGTATTCATGTAGAATTTGATAGCAGATCTTCTCATCCACATGAGTTAAAGTTAGTGTGCTGTTGAATGAGATCCCGCCTATTTTTTTCTTTTTGAGTATATCTGTCAACATCAAACTTAACATAAGAACTTGTTTGATAATGGGATTTTGCTAAAATTGTGCATAGAAGCATTCCTGGAACTGCTGAACTACGCGAGAAATATTTCCAAAATATATATTATTGAGTATAACAATAAAGTATTGAGTAAACAAGGAAGCGTGAAGTGTATTATTGAGTATTAACTACTCTAGTTTTGAGTAATTTGACTATAAAGTATTGAGTATTGATTATTGTATTATTTTAAGTGAAAATGTATAGTTGTATTTGAGTAAGGAAAAACTAAAAAAGTAAATGAATGTTAGTCAAACAAAACTCTCGAAAAGGTGAAATGTGAAGATTTTTTTGGAACATTCCAAAATGGTAAGTATGAAAAGTTTTATTGGACGAAAGAAGTACTAGTGATTTTTACATAGCTACCAGTCTAGGAGAAGGTTTAAGTTATTTAAAGAGATAATGACTAAACACCTCGGTTTACAACCTATATAGCTGATATTAAAAGGAGATATTATTGGTCGAGCCGATATATCTCTTTTTCTAGGTTGTGAAGAGATAATGGAAATATGTTTGGGGAATCAAATGCTTAGTGCTGTAATTTTACAAGTGTGGATTCTGTAAGTATATCTTTTTTTCGCAGCTTCAATAAATTTGCTAACTCTTGTAAATTATCAAACCTACTTATATTTTGGAATCTCTGTGTTTTTCAGCCTATTTTTACATACTTAACTTGTATGGTATGTCTTTTTGTGAAAAAAATACATTAAATTCATTTAAAAATAACTTCTTTTGCTAGCATAGTAAAGCAATATTCACTTTACTGACTTCAGATTAGTCAGGTTGTAGCATTTCCATGATACTGATATACCTCACTTCATGGGAACATAGCTAAAAGTGGAAATGTGATGAAAATGTTTTCAAGTTTTAGGCCTTACAAGATGAGTTTCTTAGTACCCTTAAGTTTCTTATTTTGCCAAAAATTGGATAGTACAGAAGGCTCCATGTGTCGGGGCCTCCATGTGGCCGAAGGCTCTATGTGTCGGGGGCCTCCATGTGGCCGAAGCTCTATGTGTCGGGCCTCCATGTGGCCGAAGGCTCTATGTGCCGGGGCCTTCATGTGGCCGGAGGCTCTTTGTGTCGGGGGTCTCCATGTGGTCGAAGGCTCCATGTGTCGGGGGCCTCCATGTGGCCGAAGGCTCTTTGTGTAGGGGGTCTCCATGTGTCAAAGGCTCTATGTGTCGGGGCCTCCATGTGGCCGAAGGCTCTATGTGCCGAAGGCCTGTATTTCGAGCCTTGTTCTCCTGTGATGTTTCTGGACTTGATTTCATGAATGTTAAGCCTTCTAGCATGGGGCTGAAGGCTCCCCCTTGCGTATTATGGGTTGCCTGGAGTCTTGTTTGATGGGCTTGGCCCATTTGGACCTGTTGGGCCTGATTGCAGTAGTGGAAGGATGTGGGCCGGGGGGTTCTGGGCCATATACTCCATCAGGAGTCTCCCACTCCTTTTGCTGAGAGATTCTCGAAGGAAATATGAATAGATGTTGCGTAGTCGCTGACGGCTACTTTTTTGTAAAGTAGTGGGAGATCTGCATTTGTGTGTTTTGCCGAGGGCATTTGCTGACTGAAGGCTTTTGTTGATGCTTTGAGACAGTTTTTTTGTGAATTTCCCAAAGGGGTTCCCCGGTCCCCCACTTCTTGAGGCACATATGATGGGGTGAAAAGGAATAGAGTGATGCATGCCTTCCGCAGGATCCGCCGAGGGGTGACGTCTTTTGTTCCACAATGGGGAGATGCCTCGTTAAAAATCTCATTAAGAAAAAACTCTGTGTGAAAAAATCCTAATGAGGGAAAAAGAGTACATCGGATGCCCCCAGAATGAAGCAAAAAGAGTGAACCCTTCGGCCTTGATTGTGGGGTGTTAGCGGTGTCCGTCTACTGAGGTGATAGCCAAGATGTGCCTTAGATTATGTATGAAAGGGTGGGGAGCCTGTAAGGACCCCCCGTAATCAAATAAAGATGGCGGAGGGGTGCAAGGCCGAGAGGGCCGACGATAGCCCTCGACATCAAATAAAGATGCCAGAGGGATGTAAGGCCGAGGGGCCTGTACGATAGCCCCCGACATCAAATAAAGATGTCAGACGAATGTAAGGCGAGGGGCCTGTATGATAGCCCCCCCCCCCCCCCCCCCCCGGCATCAAATAAAGATGCTGGAGGGATGTAAGGCCGACGGGCCTGTACGATAGCCCCCGACATCAAATTAAGATGTCGGAGGGATGTAAGGCTGATGGCCTATATGGAATCCGAGTCATTAAATAAAGATGACCAGGATATGAGGCTGATGGGCCGACAGGGGTTCTTGTCATTACATAAAGATGACAGTGTAATAGAATGGCCGAGGGCTGTTCGTGATGTGAAATCATGTTGAGGTCGGGGGCCGTTTGTGATGCAGAATCACGTTAAGGCTGAAGCACCCGTGAATGAGATCCCTGTCATCAAATAAAGATGACGAAGTAAAGTGTAGCTGGGGGCCATTGTGATGTGGAATCACGCTGAGGCCGAGGGTCGTTGTGATGTAGAGTCACGTTAAGGTCGAGGGTCGTTGTGATGTGGAATCACGCTGAGGCTGAGGGCCGTTGTGAAGTAGAGTCACCGTGAGGCCAAGGGCCATTGTGATGTAGAGTCACGTTAAGGCCGAGGGCCGTTATGATGTGGAATCACGCTGAGGTCGAGGGCCGTTGTGATGTAAAGTCACCGTGAGGCCGATGGCCGTTGTGATGTGGAATCACGCTGAGGCCGAGGGCCGTTGTGATGTAGAGTTTCATTTGCCTGATCGAGTCTTGCGACAGTTTGGGTTTGAGCAGGTCATTCCACGGCCTATCGACACTTATGTAGAGCTTCATAGGCTGGATAGGCGTGGGAAGCATTCGGAGGATTGGGCACTCAGACATGTCCGATACGTCACTATGTGGGACAGGCGAGCTGAGCTAGTTGTGACTGGGACACCGACATTTGTCCCATCTGTTTCAGGAGACTACATGGGACGGTATTACAGCATCACTCGTTTGTTTGTGTCTCCTTCGTTCAGACTCCCTACTCATCATTATCAGCCTAGCTCATTAGCTTTGCATCTTACGGTGAGTATATTACTAATTAGTAAAGTAAGTCATTTTATTTATTGAATACTTGTATGTATTTCAATGTAATTGTAATTGTGTTTCATATTTCAGACACGAGCTTTGCAGCGTATACATCAGCGGGCTACTGCCACAGTGAGTGATACTCATGATGTGGACATGTATGGACAGACTCTGACAGGCATTGCCTCCTTGTGTTCAGATGTGTTGGGGCGAGTCGACTACGACCATCTTATACACATGCCCCCATCTCAGGAGATGGCATCGACGTCTAGTGCAGCGGCGGCTTCATCATCCCAGACGCAGCATGAGAGAGTGATTCTTCAACCACGACCACGGCGTAGGCGTAGACATCAGCAGCAACATCTCCATGACCAAGATGATCAAGATGACCATGAGAACTTGTAATTTGCCTTTTGTATTGCAGTATGTTGTAGGAACAATTTACAATATTTTACGTATGTTCTCTTCTAAAACTCCTATTATTTAAATATTCAAAAACCAATTCGAAAAAAACTCCTATTATTTAAATATTCTTATTAGATTATTGTATTATTATATTATAAAAATCTAAAGGGAAAGTCGCCCAACGGTTGGGCGACTTATAAGTCGCCAAACCGTTTGGGGACTTATAAGTCGCCCAACTGTTGGGCGACTTTCCCTGACCACGGTTAAACCCAGCAGTAGATCCGTAAATACTTTTAACCCAACATTATTTTCGTAATTAATTAATTAATTAGCATTAATTCGAAAAAATCCTTTTTTTCTTCTATTTGGCTTGTTGGAATATTTGTGCTGAATAATAAATTTAAACCTGAAATCTCATACTCCACATGCATCTAAAATCACAAGTTTATGTCATCATTAATACAGAAGGTCTTTGCCCATCTCAGATTTGAGGGCAATATTTTCTACTTATACACCTTGATGGCCTGATGGGTCAATTTTCGACAGGTAGTTTTCTTCAGAAGCTTGTGGAAATGGCACAAGAGCACACTTTGGCACCATCAAAATGATGGAAAAGAGCCTTCTTCTTTTTTGCTCAAAACTGATGTTCTACAACTCTTTAACAAACGCAGTTCTAACTTTCTTCTTTCCCTTGCCCCACCCCTAAACAATCATAAGCGCCGACCTACAAAGAAGTCCACCAACTTTTTCACTAGATTGTTAAAGATATTTGGAATAAGGTGAGGGTACCGTACCTATAACATGTATGATTAGTCCACATCATTAATTCATCATTTATTTATATTTTAATTGTTTAATTGTAACATTTTGATGACCGACCGGTCCCGGTTCTACAAATATGGAGCCCGATATTGACCCTAGTTGGTACGGTCCTTGTCCTAGGTACACAGACCGGTCCCTAGGACAAGAAATAGTGGACATTAAAAATGAAATGTAGATTAATTTGAAATATGAATTACACTTGAGCTTTGAGAATAATTTAAAACATCAAATACATTTGCTAGTCGTCGTTACTCCCGCCAGTGTCGGTTGTCGTTTTCCTCCATGAAGTAACAGTCGGGGGAGATGCAAAGTTCTTGAGTTCTATGTCGGGCATTCAATTAATCGTGGAAGCAAATGAACGTTTCAAGAGTTTGCACATGCAATCCCGTTCTATAATTTATTAGGATGTTGCTGGCTTCGCTTAATTCTTGTTCCACGGCTACCGTTGGAACTTGGAACTGACATTGGGTCATTGGTAACACTTGCTTCATCATCTTCGATAAAATGGAGAATATTCCTTCTTTCTCCTTTCACCATTAGAGAATGTTTAACTCTTCCTCTTTTTCAAAATCACAATGAAATGTTAGATATAAAAACAACTCGTTAATCGAGTTTTGTACAACATCGGGGGTTGTTTTACTTTTTATCAAAAGATTACTAATTGTAGATTTAAAAAGTGATTTTCCTTTAAAAGTAAGAAAATGGTACTTAAATCTAAGAAGTACATAAATCAATTTATAAGTACTATTCCATTGAATCGACAAATTTTTAGGGAAAACACAATATCTAATTCTAACATGTCTAGCTTTCAATTAAACACGTCATTGCGGTTTAAGTTGTGTAGTACCCCAAATAATTCTAATACCCCCTTCACTTTCTTCATCACACTTCCTAATGCGACTAACCGTGTTTTACACATAAATTAAAAATATGACATGCACAACGCTGATGAAAAAACTACTCATCAAAGTAGAAGAGTCACATAATTCATGCAATCTAGGTATAACATTAGTATTCTTACTAGCATTATCAAAGATTCAAAATCAATGACAAACATCCATGTCCAGGATGTTTGGCTTGAAACCAACCCCATTTCCAGTTATATGATGGGGACCTTCAACACACAACCAAATTTTTAATAAGAGGGGTATCAAACCATATATATCTAATATCATATTAAGACCAATTAATAAGAGGAGTTGCTCATGATTTTATTATTGATTTAATCATTCAGAAATTGATCTAAATAAGAGTATCATGTCCCCCTAAATAGGAATAATTAATGCAAAATATGCAAAATAGTGTCAATTTTGGCATTAATACTACCATATGAATGTTTTTTAATGCTAACATATGATAGATAGTAGGATTTTAGAACAATCATTAAACATATTTGGAATTTCAGGTTGTTTTTAATAAAAAACAACTATTGAACTTATTTGACTCCATAACAATGGTATAAAGGTTAGCTAATATAAATGACCTGGTTTGCCACCATTCAGTACATTGCTTTCAGCTGGCTCCATTCCATATATCTGTTTTTTTTTCTCCATACTCTGCAACACATGATCATTTCCCATAAAAAATTAGCAGCTACACTCCACAAACCTTAAACTACAATTCAATGCGTTCAAAATTTACCTTCCACCACTCCATGGATCTAAGAGACTATTTGAGAAGACGATGTCACTCCCAAATGGCCCAAGAGCCGTTTTGTATCCTTCAAACACGATAAGAAACCATGTTTTAATGATAAAGAAAGATTAGATTGTTCACACTGTCTATAATCCAAGTTGTCAATACAATTCAAAACGACCATTAGCAGTTTCAAAATCACTTTAAGCCACAGAATAATTAAGTATACAGATAGTCACAAAATCGTTATTAGCATGCCATTTACAATTATTTATTTTTAGTAAATGTCTTAAAAAGAAGAAGAAGAAGAAAACACAAAATTGTAAAAATTAACCTTAAATAAAAAAGCTTGGATGTGTGGTTTACACCTGATAGAGAATTTTAAGAGAAAATAGATAGAGACAACACCACAATGAGGGAAACTGAGGCACTTAAGTCTGGGTATATCAATTCTCCATGCAGGTCGGCTTCTGGGTATATCAATTCTGCTTCCAAAACCCAAGACATACAAAAAATACGAGCCATAAGAACACCCAAAAACCACAACTAAGGAAACGAACAAACTGAGTCTGAAAAATAAATAAAAACACTCCTATAGAGAAACAAATGTGTGAATTAAAATCAAGTAAAAACTGACCATATTTATAAAATCAAACCTGATTTGAATTTGCCGTCTTTAAATTAGAACGAGCGCCCTCAAACTTGATTAGGTGCGGGTGGGTGTCTTCAATCGTATCCATGGAGGTATCCTCAGCTGAGAAATCTTTAGTAAATCTAATTTACTAAAGATTAAGAAAAAAAATTGCAAAAATGTTAGATTCATTCCAAATTAACTCAGGAATACGATGTGAAAATCAAAACCATATCCAAAGAAGAACATGAAACAGGAAATGTCAGTAATAAAGAAGTTATTGTAGTTCTGTAATGAACCAGATAGATGATGGCGAAGGAAACGAACAAACTGAATCTGAAGAATAAATGAAACCACTCATATAACAAAAGAAATGTGTGAATTAAATCCAAATACAACTGACCATATAAAATCAAGCTTAATTTGAAGTTACCTTCTTTAAATTAGAAGATACAGGTGGGTGTCTTCTATCATATCCAGCAATTCATCTTTACTTTCACTCTAAGAGTTAAATTACTACAAAACATGATAAATTAGTGGCGAGAGAAAGCCAGGAACTTTGCATAACTACAAAGAAAGAACACAAGAGTTAACATGCACACCACTTGAGAAATCAATTTTCAGGTATATGAAACCATATGATTTCTAATCATACTGCATAAATTGACCTTTCAGAGCATCATGGCGACTACATAAGAATTGTGTTTAGACAACGAAGACCACGAGGTGTTTTTGTATAGCCCACTACTCCCATTATGATCATAAGAGGAGTTTCGACTCTTATAACGGGCTCACAGGTTTCTTTCTTGTGTTATTCTAGGAAAATCCATAAAGTGTAAAAACAATGAATCATAAAGTTTATAAAAGCAAATCATAGAAAAAATTAGAAATTATCCTTCAAGATGTATACAACATAATGTACAAAAAACAGACCGAGAAAAATGTAATATGATACATACTTGATCTTGGTTTTTCAACTTCTCTCACAATGTGAGTCATGCCAGCCTTGTAACCCAAAAATGCCGTCAGTCTCCATGGTTTGGAAGGTTCATCCTTAGGAAATACCTTCACATCATAAAATATGTTCACTCAGTGAATGTTGTTTTCAACAATCAGGGAAAAAACTGGCTACACTATTTAGGTGATTTAACAGGCACCAAATCCACGGATATATATTATTTTAAACATAAATTGAAATACCGTAGTAAACAATGTAACCTTTGAATATATAGTAACAATCGAATGGATAAGAGGGATCAATTTGTTACTACTTTCTCTACTCCTTAATAAACATAAAAGAAATATTAATATAAAATATTAATAAGAGCAGTTATAACAGACAAATGTGTGACAAAGTTTAGAACATATATGTACATATATACTATGGGTAAAGCAAGTAACTACTTGAACACCAAACCAGTAGCTCACCTGAGATATGGAGGTGTATCTCTGCTCACTTTCTAAAAAAAGAATACTTGTACCATAGAATCAGGTTATATGGTTGGGAGATTAAAGTAAATAGTTGTCAAAAACAGAAAGCGAGCCTGAATTAATTTAGAAGACATGGATGCACAAGGATGCATTTGGGAAGCTTTGACTAATTGAACCAAAACTGGAAATGAATCTGCGACAACAATTAGAAGTAAAATTGAATTGGTACTACTGTTGTGTTAAGAAGGGCGGAATCTGTGGAAGAAGTAGGAGAATGGAGAGGGGGTAAAGGGGTGAAACGATGTTATCTTATTGCTGGAGAAGCTTGAATCTCGTGGACGCTTGACCCCGGAGAAGCTTGATTCTCGCGGACGTATGGCAGATCCGGCAAAATACTTCTCCCCAAACCCTAGCTTAATTTTGAGTTTATGGAGAGTGGGGATGGGAGCAAGGCGGATGTAGACAAAGAAGACCATAGTGAGAGCCATGGAGCTCCGCGAAAATTCAATTTACAGGTACAAAAACCCAAAAAACGGAAAATCAAAGCAACGGAATCATCAACAATCACAGCCGATAGAGAAGAAAAGAACCAGGAAAATCTGACCTGATAAAACCAGAGCTAAGAAGAAGTGATGTATAACAAAAACGGGGCAGGCGAGTTCGAAAGACCTACACAGGAAGCAGAAGAAATTTAGATACTTATACCTGCACAGGATGATCCTTCACCGCCAAAGACAGTAGCTGCGGAGCTGCTATGCGGATGACTGTGCAATTCAAAGCGAGTGAAAACGGGCGGAAAGAAACAGAGTAATATGTTAGTTGGGATCGCGTCAAATACAAAGAAAAACCGAAGACCCGACGGAAAAAGGGCCATGTAACTTTCTTCGACACTTAAGAATTTTAGTAGATTATTATTACTATTATTATAATATTTTTGTTTGTATTCCAATTTTTCATATTGGAATAGTGTTATTTGTATAACTCTAATTCAATTCAAATCACGTTAAGATTAGCAACGTGAAGATCAGCCAAATAGAAAGCTTTTTATGCCCGGGATGGGTTCAGCTGGCCCGGATTCATCAACCTCAACCCGAAAGAATTCACCCTGCATCTGTGTGTTTGGTGAGTCTTCTGAACGATACAGATGAGTAGCAGTAACAATCCACTGATGTCGCCTCCTGCGAGGTCTTCGATATCTACGACGGCAATTTTCGGTGCAAGCGTTCCGGTTGTGGCGTCTCTTGCTGTTGACGACTACCACTTCCCCGCCGATCTTATATCTGTTCAAGACCGAAAGGACGAGGCTCTACGAGGTCAGTTCGCTAGATCCCCATGTTGGACTTTTTTGGCATTGCATTATTTCTTTTAAAATTTCAAGTGCGTTTCTAGCTTGTTTTTATACAAAAGATATATTAATAAGAAATGATATTTTCATGTCGTATTAAGACAAGAGTTTTTTACGTAAACATTACAATAATGTTTGGGTTTACAAAAAAGTGACTATAACTACCAATCACTTAGGCAGCCTGGGAGTAATTGCAGGGAAATCGCCTTGTTATTTTAATTAGTAGTCATATATTTGTTAGAGAGTTTTAAACTAATAATACTTGTGTAATTTTTTCTTAAGACAATATGTTAGCCGCTTAATGAAGTCGATTTATTAAATATTGAAAGTACTTTTTTTTTTCTTAGTTTTTTTAGTTCTGCGTGGATTTCCTGTGAACTCTTTGAGCGTTAGTATGTGTATGCAAAGATTATTAATTTCAGGTTTAGTCATATAATATACCATGATACTGTACTGGCAGACTAAGGGGGTGTTTGGAACTGATTCTGCTTGTGCTTCTTTTTTAAAGCAGAATCAGAATCAATTTTCAGAAGCTGATCACCCCTGGCTTCTAAAAAAACTGATTCTAGGAGTAAATTAGAGCACCAGAATCACTTCCGCACTTTCACCCAAACACTCCAACTTCTGCTTCTACTCCCTGAAGGAGCAGAAGCAGTTTTAAGAATCAAATCCAAACACCCCCTCAGTTTAGCATAGAACTACATGTGGTAATTAGTCCACTTATTACATGGGCCGTAGCTTTACAATATGAGAAGGAAGCCCAATATTACAAGAGCAGAATTATTAATTAAACAACATGCTCCCTTAATTCTGCACAACACAAAATCAGTAAAACAACAAACAACACATAAAACTATGCTCCCTGAAGTAGTGACACTGAAAATGCATTCAATAGCTTTCTTAGCTCTATAAACCTTTGAGGTGGAAGTGTTTTTGTGAGGATATCAGCTGAAGTTCTGTCTTGCAATACCAAACTTTAATCTTTCCTTTGCTGACATTTTCTCTCAAAAAATGGTATTTTGTGTCAATGTGTTTGCTTTTGCCATGTGCAACTGGATTTTTAGCCAAGCTAATTGCAGATTTATTATCAATAATCAAATCTATTGGTGCTAAATGCCTAAATCCCTCATCTTACTTATATAACAATGAACTCAACCATAAAAGCCTGACATGAGGCATGACAGGCTGAGATGTATTCTGCCTCACAAGTAGAAAGTGATACAGAATCACTTTTCTTTGAACACCATGATACTTGAGCTTGACAAACTGTAAACACATACCCGTATGTGTTTATCCTTTCATCAATATCTCTGTTCCAATCTGAATCAGAATAGCCCAATAGCATATCACCTTTTAGCTGATTATTACTAGGCAGTAACACACCAAAATCTGTAGTGCCTCTAACATATCTCAGCACCCCTTTTACTGCAGCAAAATGAGAAATCCTTGGGCTGACCATGAATCTACTTAGAAGTCCTGCACTATAGCTCAAGTCAGGCCTGCTATTGCATAAGAACCTTAGGCTTCCAATCATTTGCTTATAGAGAGTTGAATCCACCTCCTTTTCTTCTCTATTCTTGCTAAGTTTTAAATTGATTTCAGTTGGTGTAACTGTGTAACATCTGGATTGCACCTCTCCATTGTGAATCTCTCTAAGATATCCAATGCATATCTTTTCTGATGAAACATGATCCCTTTCTCTGTATACGCAAACTCAATTCCAAAAAAGTATGATAACTCTCCGAGATCACTCATTTCAAATTCTGATTTCATCTCTTTTTTAAATGCTTCTACAACCAATTTATTGTTGCCAGTAACTAGTAAGTCATCCACATATAAATAAATGATAAGTGAACCACCTGTAATTTGTTTGAAATAAACTCCATGTTTAACCTTGCATTTCAAGAAACCATGTCTTTCAAAGAAGCTGTCTATCCTTCTATTTCAAGCCCTCGGAGCATGTTTGAGTCCATATAGGGCTTTGTTTAGTCTGAACACCTTTTCTTCTTTACCACTAAGTTCAAAACCAGGTGGTTGTGTAACATAGAGTCATAGACTTCTCCTCCAAAGGTCCATTTAGGAATGCAGATTTCACATCCATCTGCTGTAGGCTCCAGCCATTAAGACTTGCATAAGCTACCACAGTTCTGATCAGGGCTGGATTTGGTTCGGTTCCCGAACCGAAATGGGAAATATCCGAACCGATCAACTGAACCGATCTTTCGGTTTCTTATATTTCATAAACCGAAACCGAACCGAACTTTGTTGGGACCCAATTTTCAGAAACCGAATTTTCGGTCCGGTTTTTCGGTTTTTGTGAAAAAACCGAATGGATATTCAATATTTGTATATACACTAGCTAATATTCGCCCTCAGGCTTTACTAGCAACTAAATCCTCTATTCCATCTGGTGTGGGAAGAGTTATATACTGAAGAAAAACTAAATGGAAGAGTTGGGGCGGAAGGAAAGCAAAAATTAAGGGATCTAGTCGTTGGGGGAATTTGATCCTGAGTGATATGGATGGGGCGCGTCACTGGTTACCGTTGAACTACTTCGGATTGTTGCTACATGTGGACGCTCAATCTATAAAATACATTAAAGTGATACAAATTAAATAAAATAATTAAAAACTATTATTTAATAAAAAAATCGGTTCGGTTTGAACCGATTTTCAATCTCAAAGAACCGGTTCCGAACCGATTTTTATTCGGGTCCCATTAAAGTCGGTTCGGTTTTGGATCGGTTTTTTTATTGCTCGGTCGGTTTTTTTCGGTTCGGTTTTCGGTTTTTCAGTTGAAAATGCCAGCACTAGTTCTGATTGTTTCAATCCTGGCCAGAGGGGCATATACTTCCTTATAATAAATCCCTTCTTTGCAACCAACCTGGCTTTATGTTTTGTTACTGTTCCATCAAGTCTTAACTTTGTTTTAAATACCCATTTAACTGCTATGGATCTTATGCAAAAAGTTCCCAGGTTTTATTCTTTCGAATTGCCTCCAATTGCTCTATCATTGCTTCCCTCCATGTAGGATTCTGGGAAGCTTCTTCTACTGTTACAAGTTCCACATCCACAAATAGTGCAAAATGAACTAGATCTCCATCATCTGAGATTGCATGATCTCTGAGTACTTCAAAATCATTCAATCTCACTGATCTGTTTCTGTTTCTTGTTGGTCTACCAGTATTAACCAGAGTATGTTGTTCCTTATCACTTATCAGGTGAAAACTCAATTTCATGCTCTTGCTCAGAATCTGACTCACTGCCTAGTGAGGCCAATCTTCCTCTCACCATATCAAACTGAGATTGTTTCCGTGTGGATGTATCCCAATTCCATTGAGCAGCTTCATCAACAATGACATCTCTGCTTATCACAATCTTCTGGCTAATTGGATCATAAAGCTTGTAGCCTCCTGTAGAATGATAACCAATTAGAACCAGCTTCTCACTTTTGTCACTTAGTTTCTTCCTTTTCTCATCCGGTATACGTCTGTAGCATATGGAGCCAGACCACACCTTTTCTGGTGTAATATTCTTCATCCTTTTTGTAGGACACGTGTTTAAAATGTAGGCTGCCGTAGCAACAGCCTCACCCCAAAAGCTATGTGGCAAAAGCTATTCCTTCTCTCAGCTACTCCATTATGTTAGGGGGTGTATGGACGAGTGGTTTCATGTACAATTCCATGATTTTCACAAAATTTAGCAAAATCTCCATGAACATATTCTCCACCTCCATCTGTTCTAAGAAGAGAAAAGTGTCAGTTTGGTACATCAACTTGGGAGCGGGGGAGTAAAGAGTACATCAACCTGCCATTGGGATTCAACGGTACATGAATTCGCCAAAACGGGTCTAATTTCGTCCATCGGGTTATTAGGTCTGCTAAATTGCTGACCTGGCCAACAGATTAGTGACATGGCGTCAAAATTAGGCACCTGAGTCGCATACACACACTTAGGACATGTTTAATTGGCTGCTTATAGCATAGTTAGGTTATTAATACGTCTGAAGTAAACATGTTGTGCTGCTTAACGATGTGCTTAGTAAGCATATTTCGTCTTTAAACGCCGCTTACTAAAGACGACTCCCCCCCATGTTTTATTTAGTCGGCGAGTAAAGCTTTTCTATATGTCTATCCTACCCTTCAGTTGTCCAAAGAGTAAATTTTATTTACCCAGCCTGTCCTATCTATCTCTCGACGGCTCAACCTGACCTTTATGTATCCAAAGTGCTGTATCTTCCTCCTATGCAACGAGCTGTCTTGCCATTAACTCCAATATACAAATTCGTATGTCTCAGCTCTCAATCAATATCATAGGTGAGTTTCTTCGGGTCTGAAAGGTTTTATATGCAATTTTTTTTCAATTTTTTAATAGTAATACTTCGAACCCTAATCAATTTCCTTCATTCGATACAATCATTTAATATTCTTGAAATTTCGTTTTAATTTTTTGAATTAATGCTCATTTTTATGCAATTTCAGTTTTTCTCTACATATTTTTACACAACCGGAAAGTTCTCTCTTATCTTGGTTGCACATTTATGGCTGCAAAATCTTAATACAGTGAGATACTAAATGGAAGAAGAAAGAATCGAAGAGACAATATTACAGTGGTGTGAGAAATAACTCTTTCACAGTTTTCTAGAGACGGTGTCATTGATCTGTTTCGGATCGAAGGAAACCATTTTCTAAGATGAAGATGAAATCTAATCGTACATGTTTTCTTTTCTATAGGGTTATTATTGACCTTTTAATCGTAAGATACAGTTTAAGTTGAATGAAGTAAACACACTTTTAACAAACGCTTCTTATTAAGCAACGGCTTATTAAGACAAGGTTTAATAAGCAATGTTTATTAAGCATTAAAGTAAACATGTCCTTAGTCGTTAATAACCCTAACTGTAGTGCTCGTTTGGGAAATCTGAGAGGAAACTTTGCCAGGTCTGCTCATTCAGTCCATGAATCACAAT